TTTTCGGATCCTTCACTTTATGACACTGACATCTCCTATGTCAATGATGTTGATTTTGATATTGACTTCGATCATCGGGATGTTCGTAAGCTTCTTTCAAATATTAATTCAAATAAAGCCCAGGGACCAGATGGCATACACGGTAAAATTCTAAAAAATTGTTCCGTAGGTTTAGCTTACCCTCTAACATGCATTTTTCGTGGATCCTACAACAGCGGCTACATTCCACAAGAATGGAAACTTGCAAATGTTGTCCCAATATTTAAGAAAGGTAAGAAAAGTGAGGGTGAAAACTATAGACCAATATCCCTTACTTGTTTAGTCATGAAAGTTTTTGAGCGCATTGTTAAACGTAAACTGCTTTCTTTGACAAGTACCCTTCTTGATCCCAGGCAGCATGGTTTTCTAGAGCACAAGTCATGCACAACCAATATGGTTGATTTTTGTGATAGCCTGGCATTGTCTCTTAACGAAAACATTATCAATCATGTTGTGTATTTTGATTTTGCTAAGGCATTTGATTCTGTAAATCATGATATCCTTCTTCATAAGCTAAAGACCTTATATAACATTGATGGTACACTTCTCAAATTTCTTACCAATTACCTTCAAGGCCGTTACCAAAGAGTGGTTATTGGTAATGAGATGTCATCTACCCTCTCAGTTAATTCTGGTGTCCCCCAGGGCTCTATCCTTGGTCCCTTACTTTTTGTATTGTTTATCAATGATATTCCTCTTGGCCTTTCGGCTAATACTGATATTGTTTTGTATGCCGATGATACAAAAATCTGGCGTAAAATACATTCATCTTCTGATAATACCAATTTACAAATGGATATAGACTATCTCTCTGACTGGGCACTTAGAAACAAAATGCGATTTCATCCAGCAAAATGTAAAGTGCTTATTGTTTCAGGAAAACCATCTTTATCTCCTCCATTCGCATATAATCTTGATGGCTCTCCTCTTGTGTATGTAGAGTTAGAAAAAGATCTTGGAGTCGATGTTACTCCTAAGCTCAGTTGGAATAGTCAGTGCGACAGAATTTATACTAAGGCCTGCCAACAACTTGGTATGGTCAGAAGAGATGGCCATATTGTCATTGATCAGAAACGTCGCCGGGCGCTTTACCTCTCCCTGGTTCGTAGCCAATTCGAAAATTGTTCCATAATCTGGCGCCCTTGTAATAAATCACTTAGTGATAAATTAGAAAGTCTCCAAAAGAGAGCTATTAAATGGATTCTGTCTGAAGAGGGCCGCAGTTATCCACCTGAGCAATATGTCAAAAAGTGCAAGCTTGTCGACATTCTCCCTTTGTCTCAAAAGTTTGACTTGAATGATCTTATTTTTTTCCACAAAGTTCTGAACAATTTAATTCCTGTATGGCTGCCTCACTATCTCACTTTATATCAGGGCACTTCTCGACTAAGACGTTGCCACCTCGACAGTCTGTCTATTGTGTCATCAATTTTACCTAAGTTAAGTCAGAATTCACACACCTTATGTACCTCAAATAGCCCACTGGCAAAATCATTTTTCTACAGAACTCATATACTGTGGAATGGACTCCCTTTACAGGTAAGACAGATTGTGTCTACAAGTGTTTTCAAAGCTGAGGTCACTAAGCATCTATGGAAATGTTTATTGGATAGTGAAACAACAGCCTAGCCTAGTCTCTTTGCTCCCCATATTATTATTATTTTTGTTTTATTAATTTTTTTATCTACCTTCCTATACTTTCAACATCATATCACACTTCACCCGCACACCTCACACATTAATGACCATATCAGACCTGTATCTAATGTATCTGGAATTTGACGTATTGAAATACCATTTTTGACTATATATCCACAGTTATTCACCATGGATTTGTTTGTTATTAAATAGTTTTTCATAAATTTTTGGATTTAGATTAATTCGATGTAATGGGTCCAAGTTACTGCGGACATAGTTCACTATGTGTTTACCGTGTTTGGGTGCCCATCATATTTTACAGATGGGGGCGATATTTTGAACGATTCTATTTTATATTCATCTATTGCTGTACTCTGTAAAATTTGAAAAGTATTTAATAAAAAAAAAAATTTGAACACAGAATCCACTGTTAGGTAGATACTGAGCTGATAATCATAGAGAATGTGTAGTATAAGCTTACCTTTCATATAAAGTTGGTTTCATTCAAAAATATTGATATTTGACCAATTTATGGGCCAAAATCGATCAAATTTGGTACGTATGCCCAAATATGGTCATATGGTTTTTGGCTCATAACTCATTCATTTTTTGCCCAATCTTGATGAAAATTCATATACTTGTTCAGGGGACCACTAGCTACAAGTAGAGCACATAAAATCTGGGTTTTGGGCATGTTCGGGGTATTTGGCTAAATTGGGCCTAATTTGGACCAAATATGGGCGTGGCTGCCCCACGGGCACCGTTTGGCGGTTGGGGTCGGGGACCCCCTCAAAAGTTCGGTCACCAGTCTTAATTTGTTGGTCAACTGCTATCTCGAAACCAAGTTTCACAAAAAAATCAGGGTGAACCACCCCCCCCCCCCCCCCCCCCTTAACACTGTGAAAGCTTCCTCTTGAGTTGCACCCCACTCGAATTGCACTTTCTCTGAAACAAGGGAGGTTAATGGTTTAGCTAGTGTGGAATAATTCTTGATGAATCTTCTGTTGAAATTAGCTAACCCCAGAAATCGTTGGATTTCTTTCTTGTTTTTAGGTTTAGGGAACTGCTTGACTTTATCTATATTAGCTTCAGAAGGACCCACACTAACTCCGTCAATAACAAATCCCAAGAAGTCAATCTTAGTGTAGCCAAATTCGCATTTGTCAACTCTGAGTGACATGTTCATTTTCCTCAATTCATTCATGACGATCTTAAGCATACTCACATGATCTTCCAGATTCCTGGAGAATAGTATCAGGTTGTCATAGTAATCGTCCAATCCAGAACCATTTTGAGTCTGCTCCTTAGTCATGTTCTTCTTAGCACTCTTCACAATAGCATCCATATTCCTCTGAAAAGTAGGACCTGAGTTTTTGAGTCCAAATGCCATTCTTAAACATTGGTATTTACCACGCGGCACGCTAAATGCTGTTTTATGTCTATCTTCTTCAGCGATAGGCACACACCAGTAACCAGCCGCAAGGTCAAGTTGCGTAAAGTATTTTGCGCCTTGGCATTTGTCTATAAGCTCGTCTATGTTAGGTAAAGGATACGAGTCTTTAATAGTGCCCTTATTTAATGAACGATAATCAATTACAAAGCGTTTATCCCCATCTTTTTTATCAACTATGATTACATTGCTGTTGTATGGCGATGCAGACGGTTCAATGATCCCATTCTCTAACATTTCGTCAATTTGGCGGTTGATGTGTCCCATCCATTTTTCAGGGACTCTCCTGGGCTTATCAAAGCTAACTCTATTAGTTTCGCTTACAATATAGTGTTGAGGACCCTTGTATTTGCGAGGGGCTTTGGGGTTAGATGCAAAAACATTTTTGAATTCATCTACCACATTTTTAAGATTACCTACTTCTTCATTAGAAAGCTCAGGGTTGATGTTGTATGTAGGTTGTTTGTCCTCGCTGAGTAGGCAGTATACCCACTGTTCGCCCAGCTTAACGCGACCCTTTTCCCAATCAAATCCGGTCTTCCCAAACTTCTGCATAAAGTCCGTACCAAGGATAACCAAGTCCGGCTGGGCGGGTAAGAATGTAGGTTTCATCCAGTGAGTCTGGGTCCATCCCGAGTGAAACATCACATCACACTGCACTGGGTCCCCTGTTTTCTGCTTACCACCAATCCCATTAATAGAGCCCCCATCTTTAATTTTATCTTCTAGTTCAGGAAGCAATTCAGCACTGATGAGAGATGTGTTTGCTCCACTATCCAGGAGTATTCTCGCTGCAACTATTTTACCATTGTACTGAATCTGTCCGTCTAGTCATAAGTTTGCTCTTCTCCCATTGTCTTTCTGCTGCGGACGTTGTTTGTTTCCTCTAGACTGCCCCTCTGGGTGTCCCATTGAGCTTGAGGATCCTCTCGAGTATCCTCCTGATCCTGAGTATCCTCCTGAGTATCCTCCTGACTTCTTCTTCTCACATTCATGAGTACTGTGACCCAGCTTACCACATGCCTTGCATTTACGTTTAAAACATTGAGTGGCAATGTGACCTTGCCTGTCACATGTATAGCATCTTCTTGTGCTTCTTTGCCTGTTCTCTGTTCCATAATACACCTCTTCAGTTTCATCCCATTCTCTTTCCTCTGTCCAGTTCTCTTCATGCTGGTCTAACAGGTAGTGCTTAATGGAGTCCAATTCACCTTTCAAGGCATCTAACTCTCCGGTGTAGTCTGTAGGTCTCTGATTCTCTTCCAAATCTGCTGCGAAGACGAAACCGTCCTCTTTCTCTTGCTTTATGTTAATCTGCAACTCCTGCTTAGTATGGTTTTGGGTTTTGTCTAGCTGTGGCTGTAGCAACGCAAACATTTCCAGTAATTCCGCATCCGTCATATCCGCTTTTATCTTTGCCTTGTTATCTTCATGAAACTTAACTCCTGAGGGTATGAGACTTAAGAATCTCAGCAGTACAACATCATTTGAAAATACTGCTTCTTTCCCTAATTTCTTCAAGATGAAGAATGTAGTCTTGAGCTCCCCAGTAACAGGACAATCAAAGAACTTTTGAGCCGCTAGAACCCGTGATGGTTTACCATCCACAAGCTCGCTCAACCTTTTGAGTGCTTTATCTAGATCATCATCAGTATTTTCTTCTACAACCAGTAATGCGATCTCCACTTCTCCTTCATTTCTGCAAACGTAAACCGGAAGAGAGTCAATTTTCTGTTTCTCTGATGCAAATAGTGCCGTTGCTCGCTTAAACAGTCTTCCCCAATCTTGAATAGACTGACCCGGCATCAGCGCTGGAATAACGTTGACTGGTGCCATATCTCAACACTTCTATAGGATAGATGTTACAAAATAATTTGAGGTTATTATGTGAGGTTCTTGTAAGTGTACTTATTCAATGAAACCAGGTAATGAATGAGGAACAACTTACAATGAACTGTATTACATAGAATAACCTAAAGGGGGATGTCGTTAGATAACAGCATATAAAATAGGCTGACAGTGCTGTCTGCAGATAGGAGCACCTTGAAATTGCCAAGCTGTGGTAGAGATAAAAATGTGAACAAAGGGTCAAATACAGATAAGAAAGGTAAACATAAGATATAATGTCCCTCTGCTCACTCTTCCTGTTTGTGATTGGACAGATCAGCGTCACGTGACAGAACACCTCTATTACAATTGGTCGGGATCATGGAGCACATCAGGGCTGCCCGTCGTCCGAATAAATATAATTCAGTTGTTATTATGATTGTTATATTATGGTGTTGGTTACCTACCTTTATTGTGTTTCTTTTGACTTTTGCTATATCGTGCTCTGCTCTGAAAATTGTGATAGAACCTGTTCGAGTTGTTAACGAGACGATCTCCTTGTTCTTTCGTTGCAGAATCAACATGTTCTTTGTTTGAGTAACACAACAATTTTGAGGAATAAGGAAGCGTTATTGGGCTGTAAAACCAACTTAAATCGATTTCTCGTGCAACGTTGTACAGGTGAGGAACAGTCACCAAAATGAGTTGCTTACCTGCTGTGTTTTGTCGTACTCTGCTCTTCGCTCAAGTTCGATCAGTTAAGGTGAGGATTGCCTCGATCTTTCGGTTTCAGCCCTAGGTCAAGAGCTGTAGAACCGAAGGATCAAAATATATGTTGCTTGTTGCTCGCATTCTAAACTATAAAACATCGATTTTGAGGGATAAGGAAGTGTCTCTAGGTTCTGAAACCTAGCTAAATCGATTTTTCGTGCAATTTTAGGTTAGAAACGGTCATCAAAATGAGTTAATAAGAAGGTCGATTTCTCGGTTATTTTTGAGCTTTCGTTCAGAAAATAATTCGGGGCCCTCAAAGGGGGGTAACAAGAAAGCGTTACAAGTGTTACAAGCCTTCTATAATACAAAATATGTATCACCTCCTTTTTTTGTCGGCCGGGTGGTATAGTGGTATTTCACTCGCCTCCCAAGCGGAAGACCGGGGTTCAAACCCCGTCTGAGGCAGGCAGGCCAGGTCACCAAGCTGTGATTGGTACAGGATTTATCCTGGTAATTATGCTCGGAGGATATCAGTGACGCGATTCCCACTACAGTGTAAGCTGCAGTGTAGCTGTAATAGTCTACCGCCATTCGGAATGAGTGTGAACTTGCTTACCAGGCAATCATGATTTCCGCTTGGTACTCATCAGGTCTCTAAGAAAGCCAACAGTGTGCTGATATGCACTGTCATATGTACTTCCAAGAAGCAGCACACGGCCCATTTCGGACTTGCACGAGTTATAATTATTATATTATCACCTCCTCAGCCTGCCGAACATGTGCTCGACCTAAAATGTAAACAAACAATGATCACCTCCTCAGCCTGCCGAACATGTGCTCACTATTAATGTAAACAAACAATTAAATGATCACCTCCCCGCCAGTATCCACATCTATTATTAACCGATATATAGCATCCGGTGGACGGGCTTTCTGCTATAAAGTAAAACGAAGCACTAACTGGGCCAGCTATTCTGGAATTTGTTATCGAAATATCAATAAATATGCATCCTTAAATTACATCGATGATACATTTCAGCGTCCTCGGCGAGTATCTATAAAGCACTGAACAAATTTAGGTAGAAATAACATCGCCTATACTTACACCACGCATGATTAATTTTCCATCGCATTAATTTTCTCTCGCATCTCACTGAGCTTATTCATAAATATGAGAAATACTGGATAACTAAAAAAAGTGACCAAAGACAAAAGCACATTACAAATTCCTAATCGTGGTGCTACTGTTCATAGGAGTGTACTGGTGCTCTACTGTTCATGATGTACTATCCTATGAACAGTAGAGCACCATTGAACTCTTATGAACAGCAGAGCACCAGTACAATTCAGAATAAAACAAATATAAAACAAATATTATATTAAAATCTCTTTATTCAACAATATTAAATCATTATAGGGACCTAATTTGTGACCTGATCGTTATGTTAGGGCAATTCTGTTAGCTGATGCTGACAGGCACCGCATGGGGCAGAGACTTAAGACCATTACGCTGGAGGCTCACAATGACCCTTTTTGAACCCCATGGCAGTGCTAGTTTTATTGTGGTACAAATTGTAAAGCGAAGTTATGAAAACGATCAGGTCAATCCTGTTTTACACTATGAAATGAAATGAAATGAAATAATGTGCTTGTATACGGATACCGCCCATATGGTTAGCAACTGACACAAGTGTCAGGTACTAACCATGTCAGAGCTGTTCTAAAGGGTGAGGTGAAAATATCCAGCAACAAACAACTAAATCATCTCAAAAACAAATCTGTTCAGGAAAATTAAAACTATAAATATATCATATGGTAATCATAGGAAGATTTATTGATATATACCACACTACGATTAACAATAAACCACCAGAAAACACTTCAAAAGTAACATAATATACTTATAGGAATCATAGGAAGGTTTATTAATATATTAATACACTTTGCACTAATAAATAAAGGTACACCCTCCAACAAATCATAAGAACAAAGAAAAAACAGCACTAATCACATACGGTCATATAAATAATGTTTAAGGCTACTTTTGAAACTGTCTTCGTTGCGTAGTGATCGTATCTCCCAGGGAAGTGAGTTCCATGCAGTTGGTGCGTAGTTGGTGAATCGACGTTGATCAATCCTACTATTTGTAGTTTTAGGAGTCTTTAGTCTATAACAATCTCCTTCTACTTTTGATCTTGTACTAGCTGTTGTCAATGGGTTTTCAATCACTACAAGGTTCTGTATGTAGGCCGGTGCAATCCCATGCACAGCTTTATAAGTTAACAGGCAGACTTTAAAGAAAATCCTTTGGTCAAGAGGAAGGATATGTGCTCTCTTGTAGTAGGGAAGTAGGTCTTTTGATCGGTCTTTGATATTGTAGATGAACCGTATGGCACCATTGAGGGTTGATCTTAGCTTGTTTAGTCGTGTCTTTGGTAGGTTCATGTTAAGAGAATTACAGTAGTCGAGCTTTGATATTACAAGCTGTGTTGCCATCATGAGTTTCAATCCTTCATCCAGGTAGCGCCCAATCGTCCTTAGATTCATCATTGTCCAGCTGCATTTCTGTTTGACACTATTAATTTGTCTTTCCATGGTAAGAGACTTATCAAACTTTACTCCAAGACTCTTCCAGCTGTCACCTCTACATTCAGTTGGAGTGATAGTTGAGTTTCCGAACTGAACCGTCACCTCCATTTTGCAGTCTTTAAGAACTTTTGATTTGCCTAGGACAAGTAGTTCTGTCTTCGACTCATTGAGTTTCATAAAGTTTCCAACCATCCAATGCTTGATTTCCGAGAGACATCTATTTAGATCCGATCTTTGACATCTGCAAGTTCGCTTGGGAAGCTTGGATGAAAAGATATGTATAACTGAGAGTCATCCGCATATAGCTGGATGTCTAGTCCAAATTTGGCAGCAATGTTCTGAAGGTCTTTAATGTAGAGTATGAACAAGATGGGCCCTAGAAGGGATCCCTGAGGGACTCCAAAGAGGAGTTCAAGCAGAGACGAGATAGTATCGCCTATCTTTACACAGAAATATCTGCTCTCAAGGTATGATCTCATCCATCAAAGAGGTATAATTTCGCTATATTTTGTAATAATAAATGTATTTTATTTTTGTTTGCTAAAATAAGTGAGGACTTACATGACGTTGCTGCAAAACTTATTTCATCAAACTTCATTAATCATAACATCAGGCTGCTGAAATTCAGAGTGAGCAGATGGTTCTTGACCGATTTTCTAAAGCTGAGACCCTGGGAGTTCCTGTATTGTATCACATGGACAATAATAATGCTATAAATCGTTCACCTTGAAGCGCAAACTAAAGGAAGCTACAAGGAAAAGAAAGCGCGAAGAAGGTCAGTAGCAATTTAACAAGGATTCCCTCAATCTGGTCCTATTCGGATTTCGGGATCAGTGACCAACAAGTTTCAGATTGTAATTTGTTGATTATTTATTCTAAAAATGCTATATCGTGCTAAACATTAACATTGTACCTACTTCAGAGAGCTTAGTTATTCCTATGGGTTTAGCTTCTGGGAGCGATCAACCTGAAAGTACCCATACCCCCGCAACACGGAGTCGGATTTCCTCTTCTCGTAATGAGAAAAGTGAGTTTTATTTATATTAAGATTTATTTAGGATTTTTTAAATTAAACTAACGCCACGCTATGGGGCACGACATTTTTCACAACATGAACACTGACTTCGCTGTATTATATGTAAGCGTAAGGTAGAATGTTTATGTTCACAGTTGTTTTTTCTGCAGGTTCTGTGGTTCTAACGGACCGGGAAAGAGGTCGCAAAATAAAGTGTATAAATTGAGTCCAAGGGAAATTCATAGGAGATAAGAAGTGGACAAGTTTAAATTGAGTGAACAACCCCGTGTTGAACTGTTTCTGGATGCTGTCAAATTTTTCAACGATGATCGGGGCACACGGCTTGCTGATATAGACTCTGTCGAATCTTAGCTTGCAGCAGATATTTACTCCCATCATTTATGTATGCAACAGTATCTTAAAAAATACGAGCGTGAAACATTCACCTGCGAAATTTGTCAGAGGAGCGCATGCTTCACGTCTTACTCTTTAAACTATGACACAGCTCTGGAACTCCTTGAGAACGCCCGTAACAAGAGAGATATGAAACTAGTGAGCATTCTATTGTGTGCAGTTGACAATCAAATCTAAGCGATGATAAAGCCTTTCCCCAATCCCCATTCACTTAGCATGGGTTACAGAGTACCTTTGTTAATCCACTAACTTGCCAGCCTGCTCACGTGAAACCTTGATTCCAGTGATTGATGAAATGCTTAGAGACAAGTTTGGCCTCA